GGTCGCCAAGCACCGTTTAGGCAGCAAGGCAGTCTCGGCAGTCCCCCCCCCGGCGACAATGACGAAGGGAAGGGATCAACGTGGTGGCGAGCTTTCACATGGACGCTATTGCCCGGAAAAATGGGTCCAGGAAGATCTGACGGCGATCCACGGTGGCAGCGATCCACGGTGTCTGTGCCCGCAGAAGCGCCGTGCGTCATGTCTGACCCGACAGGGTGCCACCTCATCGGAGTGACCATCAGCGACGGGCCCGCAGGGCTGCAAGGGCCTTGCGGTGAACATCCCGCGCAAGAAGAGCGCGGCTAGACCCTGGTGCTAAGCTCATCAGTGATAATTCGTGCATGTTTGTCACAAGCACAGCTTTTTGACAACCTGAAATGACAAAATGTGGTGGGTTCATGTCTGGCAGCGTTGGCCGTGTTGGCCGCCGAACGGCGCTAGACATGAGTGAGCACACACGTATACGGGGTTGCAAGGGCCACCAGGCAGAACACAAACAAGTGAAATAAATAAACTCTCATGCTTAACATATAGGTTCAATCAAAAGGTTGTTTGTTTGAAGGCACCTGGTAGTAGAGATGGTGGCGCTTTAGACTGAGCGAAATTCTTCCCACTGTTGGGAAAATCGTTTAACTAAAATTGCCTTTGAAAGGGCATGTCAAAAGGGAAAATCAATTAGAAAAAAAGTTTGTTAATTAAAAATTGCCTTTGAAAAGGCTTGTTAAAGGGAAAATGGTAAAATCTATTTTTAAGTAAAATTGCCTTTGAAAAGGCGTTTTACAAGGGAAATCAATTTCGGAAGTTAGATTTTGAATTCGAATTAACTTTGCAAAGCTTTTTAAAAGGGAAAATCAATTGGGAAAATCTATGTTTAATTAAAAATGCCTTTGAAAAGGGGGTTTCAAAGGGAAAATCAATTAGGAAAATCTTTGTTAAATTGAAATTGGGGAAAATCAATTGGATTGTTCAAATAAAATTGCCTTTGAAAAGGCTGTTTCAAAGGGAACATCGATTAGGAAAGTCTTGTTAAATTTAAAATTGCCTTGGACAAGGCATTTTCACGGGGAAAACCAATTGGATGTTTTTCAATTAAAATTGCCTTTGAAAAGGCTTTTTGAAAGGGAAAACCAATTGGGAAAATCTATGTTTAGTTCAAATTGCCTTTGAAAAGGCGTTTTCAAAGGGAAAATCATGTGTTTTTTCAATTAAACTTGCCTTTGAAAAGGTTTTTGAAAAGGTAAAATCAATTGTGTGTTTCAATTAAAACTGCCTTTGAAAAGGCTTTGTAAAAGGAAAAAGCAAGTGTTATTTTTAAACTAAAACTGCCTTTGAAAAGGCTTTTCCAAGGTAAAAATCAATTGAGGCAATCTATGTTTAGTTACAACTGCCTTTGAAAAGGCTACTTAATAGGGAAACTCAATTGGGAAGCACGAATCACGAATCACGCGGCTGGAGGTTTTAGTTAAAACTGCCTTTGAAAAGGCTGTTTAATAGGGAAAATCAATTGGGAAGCACGAATCATGAATCATGAATCACGAAACCGAATCACGAATCACGAATCACGAAACGAATCACGAATCACGCGGCTGGAGGACGACTTCCGGATCACCACTCATACTATACACCGGCTGCGGACTAGCTCCGGTCTTGAGGTCCGGATGAACTGAGACTGGATCCAAACGGAAAACGACCCTTGTAAACCTCTCTCAGAATTGCACGTAACCTGCTGTTGTTCCACTGGAGGGAAACACTGCGGAGAACTGGAGGGGGGGAGACTTCACTGCTCCAGAAAGACCCTCCAGAAATCCAACCTCTCCATCTCCAACCATCTCTCCCCGCCTCACCGCGCGCCCGCCGCAACGCTTTCTCCCTCGCGGCCAGTAGGTCGCACCAAAGCTCCTGCCGAAACCGCGCGGAGCTTGAGCATCACTGTGAAGCAGAGAACACATGGTGTCCAGTCCCGGGAAAGAAACATGAAAAAAGGGTGAGAAAAGACATGAACATCACCCGTGCCGAAAGCCTTCATGAGGTAAAGGTGTCAATAGCGATGTCCTTTTCAAGGTTCCTCATGTTTCCTCGAATCTGTATTTAAACCAGCCTTCCAGTGCCTTCCAGGCCTTCCAGTGCCTTCCAGCTCAGGGGTTAGCAAAACTGTGGTGCCTTCTAGCTCCCTCGGCGATCACGAAAACCCGGTGCAAGGTCCACCTCTCGTTGTAGCTCTGAACGCAACTCTGCTGCCCGCCGCCTCGCTGCGGCTCCGGTGGAGACAGGGGCACCGGTGCCGGCGCTGCGGCCGTGAGGAGGTCTGTTCATCAGCGTCAAGGAGGTTTAAGGCGCACATCTTACCGTTACCGGAAATGCCTTGTAAACACACCTCCAAATTCTCGTATGGATGTGCTGTAGATGTTCCCTGAAAGCAATTCTGGGACCCGGCAAGACATTGGATGTCTATTGATCGATCAGCCCAAGGGTGGTTGGGAAATCACGGGTCAATGGGATGGCATCGATTCCATAACCCAAACACTCCATGGGACTGGAACATGTGCCGCCCCATTGACCCCCCCAGGCACCACCCCCCAAGCACATGGTTGGCTGGCACATATGGCAGTCCCATGGAGTCCGTTCCTTCAGTGGCTTTCTCCGGTCTCGAAACGGACGACAAAGGCATGGTCCAAATGGCATGGTCCAACATCTGAACTTGATGATCTTCAGCGACCCACCCAACATCAAAGTCAAATGCTGCTGGTTTCTTTGGGATTCATGGTGGGAACGGATGTGTTCCACACCACCAGTCTTGCTTTGCATGTGGCATGTGGACATCATGTGGACTGGATCTGACAAGTTTATCCATATAAAACCCTATAGATTCTCTAGATTGTTATTTTCTCATCTGTCTATATTTGCCAAAAAGTCTTTGTCTTCTTTAACAAAACCAGCCAAGCCTGAAATTATCCATCTTCCTGGTCTGTGCGGGTGGCGCTGCCCCCCTGGAAATCTCCCGCCTCGCACGCCCCAAGGCGCTGCCGCTGGGCGCTGGCAGTGGTTCCGCAACACTGCGGAAGGGGACGCGGCAGACGGCGGGAGGGGAGTCGTGGAGATTTCCGGAGACGCAGTCCACTGCAAGGACCCATCCACTCGGATTTGCTTAAGGAACCAGGAAAAGAATGCCCTAGGTTGAGGGGGGATTTAACCATAGGGAAGAATTGAAAACGCTTTAGTGTAAGCAAAACCAGGTCCATTTCTGGTGCTAATTGCAACAGAACCCAAGTTCCCGTCGTTGATGAAATTCATGGCACGTGTTCTGGGGTAAGAACTGGAGGTCGTCTGCATCATTGTAGGAGAGCTTCTTAAACGTGTCCCCATTATATACAATGGATTTCAAGAAGAGTCTACACTCAGGCAATGCAACAATTTCAACACTGACCGTATCCATCATCCGTGTAAACGAATGATCTAAATCATTACCAACATGAAAATAGGGTTGTTCATCTACTTAGCAACATCCCCGTGTTCCGATGGACTAGCAAGATCTGCTTTTCTCTACCTCCCCAAATGGCTTTCCTCTCCCCGTTCCAATGAGAAGCACTGCTGGGGACTGAACGTCTGTCGTTCGGCTTGCCCCCGTTGGGTCCATCGGTTGCGGTCCATCTACCCTCAGTCCGTCGTCACGAAACACCGGCGGCCACGGACCGGCCGTTTGTGTTCGACGGAACGCTCTCGAGTCGCGGAACGTCGGGTTGTGGAGCACTCGAAGACATGCGAAGACCACGACAGGTCTCCCAAATGTTGATGTTTCATCACATGTCCTCATGTTTCATCCAAGGACATCAGCGACTTCATGTCTCAAGTCCTCCAAACCGTCGGTTTCCCTCTTCAAAAAAGCGCCCTCCAAACCGGTCTGAAGAGGGTCGCTGCTCACAGGGAGTCTCGGCCGAGAGGGCCGAGATGGAAAACTCAATTGGCCAGGGCTGGAGCCTGCAAAGCTTGGATCCCGCGACCAGGAACAATCCTGGTAGATCCTGCTGGAGCATGGCAATCCATCCATTTGCCATCTATGGTTTCATGTGTGTTAAAGCCAGTGGATGCTCATGGAGTTCATTAATACTCAGAGGACCCATAGGTTACAGGTGGTTCAAAAGGATTCTCCACAAAGCTGAAGCCTTGGAAGAGGTATGTACAGGTGCTCACGGTTCATGCGAGGTCAATCCGAAAATAACAGACCAGCTTGGATTGATTCATTGATTGACTGACTGACTCATTGATTGATCTTGGAAGCTCCCTGGCAACTCCCGGAATCGCTGGGATCTTTCACCTGGCCCTCCGCGCGTTCACGCGGTAAGTGGTGCAGGAGCGAGTTGCGTTGCGGAATCGTGGGAGCCTGGGGAGCCTGTCATGTTTGTGTTGGTTTTTGTTTCCATGCATGAACAGAAAAGGTTGGGGTGGTCGGGGTGGGTTTCAAAGGTCAATGGAGGCAATTTGATGATCAAATTATACGTCATAATAACTTGATTACTAGGGGGGGTCGTGTTTTTAAATAGGTGGAGGGGATTAATTATCATTTGCCTATGTATGCCATCGTATGCCTACGTTCCTCATTATTCCGGACCCTCAAGCCTCATGTCTTTCAGGCATTTTGAGAACGCCGGACTTCTTTCAATCTGGTCACAGCTCTGTGGGCACCCCAAACTGACAAACCACACCATAACGACCGTCCCAAACAGCCAGCATTCTAAGTTTCTTCCTGTCTTTCATTCCACATGCATCATGTTTTTCTCTGCTCCTGAACAGAAGAATCCGCAACTCACTCAACACCAAGGCGATTCCCCAAACCTGATGCAACGACAAGGGCGAGAGACGCACCAAGGACCCCAAAGGTGCCGAAGGAACGGAGGATAGGGGTGCCCCTGTCACATCCACCCACTGGATGGGACCAAATACCACACCCTTGGCGTTTCTGGACGCTGGACGATGTATAACCCAGTCCCAAAGCGGAAACAGTTCTAGTTCTTCCAATATGGCAATAGAGAATCCTTTACAAAGGAAGCGGCGAAGTCGACCTGTTTTCCTCGACCGAACTCCAGCAGCGGCGCCAAAGCCAGGCTTTGTCCTCGAAAAACGTTTTGACCGGACATCTCAGGACGATCCAAAGTCAAAGCTTCCTGGACGATGTATCAAGTTCATCTTTCCCATACACGACCCATGGGACTGCCATAGGACTGCCGATCAATTGGGCCCTCAAACCCACCACCACCCCTGGCCTGATCGGCAGTCCTATGGCAGTCCCATGGAGTGTCTGGGTTTGCTCGATTGGACGGTCCGTTGTTGTTCGTGTAGGTATACCAACTATACCTATATAGCAATACTTCAACATGGCGTCCCCGAAGATCCACTGACTAATCATTGGCAGGTCACCAGGGGTTCCGTTCGTTTCCTAGAAAATGGATGAAAATGGGACGTGTGACATGACGCCCGTAAAAGCGGTATATATACTTTTACTCAATATGGTCCTTTCGGTACTTTGACACTCCAGTGACCCAAACACTGGCGAGTCCATGTCCACTGGTGCTTCCCAAGCCTGACTTGTTTCCAGTGCGTACTCTCGGGGGACCCCCAAGCCCAACGGGTGAACCGGTGTCTACCTGCTTCAACCGGTAGGGGATCCGCCTGTTTGTTTGAGCTACACATCATGTCACTGCCGATTCTTGCGACAGTGCCATGCGCTGGATCCACAAACAAATGATCAATAGAGCGTAGATCTTCTCAGTCACCAAGTAAACACGTGGACCGACAGAAGGCGGGCGCGGCGGCTGCGTTGGTGTGCGGGTTCCTTCTCTTTTGGTGAGGTCCTGGGATCTACCCACTAGGGTACGATAGTTGAAGGAAGGAAGCCCTCTGAAAGCGCTTCAAACACCTTGCATCTCCTCGAGCCAAAGCAAGGTACTGCTCACAGTACTGCTCACATCTGCTCACAATGCCTCTTTTTGGATGTTGCATCTTCCGGGTCAATCAAAAAACACTCAACCGTGCGAACTTCCACCCCTCTTCCTTTCCGCATCAACACCGGAGCTCCACCGAATTGTGGCGCCTTGTTCCCCCAACTGCTGCGACTCCAACTTCTTCGATCCCTCCTGAGGTCAAACAACCGTGACATCGTTTTGGGCAGGTGTTTGAGGGTTCTTTGGGCTTCACACGGTGTTTAGCCGGGGTTTAGCCGGGGCGGCCCCAGCATCACGGGGGGACTGCGCGTTCTCTCAGTCCGTCACACGGAAGTGGGTTCGCACCGACCTGTTTGGTCTGAGGATTTCATCATCTTTTCGGGGCCCCCACTTCATCAAGATTACCATTTTCTAGAGCCAATGGACAACAATCATGAAGCAAGTTGCAACATGTCCATCCGAACCTGCTATATATATAAAGATGTCGACCCCGATCGACCGTGACCTATCCCCAACCATCGGTGCAACCCATCCGGCAACTTGGGATGAGTATGGTTCGACAGATTGGCAGCCGCAAAATCCTGAAGAAGACCCGCAAAATCCTCCAAAAGGGCTCTCCTGGATGCTCCAGCAGCTTAGATCCCTTGAAACGCTTCAAGCCACAACCTAGCAAAGAAACTGGGTGTCAGCCAGTGTAAGCGTGTAAGCAGACCCAGGCCCTAGCCTCACCATTGGGCCCCTCATCTTTTTCTTGCCGATGCATTTCTGACATCTTGGGCTCATTTTGGGTGAGACATTGCAACGAAAAGGAGTCTTGATCTTCCTCACTTCCGATCTTGCAGAAACTACAGGGTGGCTGTGACGAGAACTAACATAAACCCTGTTCCCAAGGTGGAGGTCATCCATTGGTTCTTGAGTTGGTTGAGGCCAAAGGCCATTGCCGAGTTCGCCTCACTAAAACTAATGATTTCTCACTCTTGGAGCTCCTTGCAGGTCCCACACCGGTTTTTTGTTGTCCTCGAGATGCGGAGGTCTTAGTCTAGACACAGGAAGAACATGGAAGGTCACAGCAACGGCAGTGGGGGTTCTTTCATTCCCAACATCGACCCGGAACCGTTCGAAACATCGACCGGGAGACACCTCTCCACCGTTCATCCGCCTGCTTTGATGTGTCCGTTCTTCTCAGTCGTGTTAAGCAAAGTTCAGGACGCAGGAAGGGAAAAGAGTTCGTTCAGTCTGCGTCCTGGAACCAGCCAACCTGCAACAAGGACACGTAAGAAACCCAACAGAAAGCATCACAGCAATTGAACCTCTCCGCCAGCACCTCCCTTTGGGATTTCGGATAGCAAGCAATTCAGGCCGGGGGTGGTCCAAAACCAAGTGAACTGACAGGTGGCGTGACTAACGGCGCTATGGTCTTGGATGCAAGCTGACAACCAGCCTGCAGGAGAGCAACAAGTGGACATCAAATTTCTGCACAGCAGCTTGTTTGTACCATCCAGAAACAGTTCTGGTTGTTCCAATATGGCTTGCTTGACGTCCTTTACATAGGAAATGGCTGGGACTGGGGCAACATCCATTTCTCTCTGGTTGTTTGGGTTTCCAGGATTATTAAAGCTGCTGGTACAAGTACTGCTGCTGGTATCTTCCGTGAAACCCATGTCAAGCTACAATCACTGCCAACGCAGCCAAAGAGTCCTCAACATCCGGATCTGTCTCTACAAGTAAAGCTCACTCACACCCTCTCCAGAGCTGTGCAACGAAGAGCAAGATCAAGACCAATTCGGATTCACAAACGTTCTCTGGATTGGCTCTTTTGGCACTAAAGCTGGTCACGCACTCCCAACGGACGAAGCTTGGCGCCACTGGCGATGGTGGGCAACCCCGTGAGCTCATGAGCTCAGATGCTGGGACTAGGACTAGGGTCCATGAATAGTTCAAATGAATACTGCTGCAGTCCAATGATCCTTCTTTCTTCAGGTTCACCTCAACAAGAGCCTGAAAAAGATTGAAAACGTGTCCAGCAAGGTGGCATGCAAATGCACCGCAAAAAAGACAACTTCCCGATGTACCGACCCCCAAAACCAAGACGTTGCGACTCTGGGACGTGTCCATGTAGGCATGTCTAGGAAGACCTTTCAAAGACCCTCTGGAAGAAAGACACATAGACCGAAACCCTAGGTTGGGGGTTCTCCCTATTGAAATACACATGCAGGTGAGTTTTTGAGGGGCTCCAAGCTGCTTGGATAGCCATGCTGAGGTCATTCGATGTCCGCCGTTGGACTGGGAGCATGTGGCCAAATGTGAGGCAAGCGGATGCAGTGAACAAAAAAGGGCGAAGAACGGAGAGGTACCGTGTGGGTCGCTGGTGCTGTGGTACCCAAACACCCCGTTTCACTCAGCAAGCCTGGTAGGTTGACGACCCGAGTTGGTCGTTGTTGGTCGTTGGTCTCTTCAGCGATGTTTGTTCGTTGAGAAACACATGGAAAAATCAGTCGGTTCGCCGAACCCATAGCCAAGCAAGAAAAACCAACCAAATGAAAGGAATCAGCCAGTGATCATCACCAATTAAGTCGTATGTCAACAGGGGAGCAACTCAAGTGGGAAGAGTCCCAAGTTGATGAAGTCTGTGGCGGGACAGTTGGACACGATCTTTGGCCCCCACCTTGTAGATGAAATGACCTGGAAAACCCACAGGTGCGAGAGAGAGAGAGAGAGAGAAAGAGAGAGAGAGAGAGAGAGATGCGCCTACGGCCTTTATCGCGTTTTGCATGGGTTTCGGGCCCTCTTGAAGGCCCCCTATTCAAGGACCCAATGAGCGTTTTGGGGCTTGTGTCAAATCAGGTGCCAATTTAGATCACCCGATCCAAACCAAACCGTTGGGATAGTCGACTGGGGCCTGCTCCACGATGCCAACGATGCTTCTGGGACTGTGTTTGGGAACCTTTGAGAATGAAGGGCTGCTGCAGATTTACATACATTGGGGTGGTTGAAAAGAGATCAAGGGAAAAAGGCAAACAGTGTAACGTGTCATGTCGTTTGGTGTCACCTATCACCTTCGTTCGAACGCACGTCTGCTTGACTTCCCGTCGGGCCAACAGGTGGGAGCAACTGAGAAGCAGCCGAAGAAAGGACCTCTAAGAAGCATGCGCAACTCCTCGAACTCATAGAAAGGAATTCACAGGGGCACTGCACACTTTTCCTGCTCCCTTATCTAGCCTTATCTATTCAAGGGTGACAACCATTTTTTACATGATCTTCAATCAGCGTTGTTCACCGCAGCACTCACAGTTTGATCTATATACTTCAATCTAGACTCAGACATTGTCGACAGCCTGGCAACGAAGTGGCCCCCGACGGATAAACAGATCCCGATCCGACCGCTCCTGAATACCACCTTGAATTGTAGCCAGGCCTGTGACCGGAGTCTGATCACCTCTGGAAATGACATTAAACTCAAAAAGGAACTCCGTTGCTATCAACATAGATTCCAATTCATGCTCCTTCGTGCAACTTACATGGCCAATGTATCTTTGCCGCAACAAATGTTGCTTGCAGCTTTTCACATGTTTCATGTTTCCAGAGCTTTTGCAATCTACCCTTGACCCTTGGAGGTCTACCTTTGAACCCTTGGAGGTCTACCCTTGACCCTTGGAGGCACTATAGGAAGGCAGACCAAACTACTGTGTTTGATGCTCACTTCGAAGGCTGACAAAGCACGATGATCCTCATCTTCCCCATGCTGTAGACAGCATGGAATGGGAGGAATTGACCACGTTTCGTTCTCGTCTTGGCCTTTACAGTGATTTGTGGAAAACAAGCACACCATGCACTGCCGCGTTTTGTAAACCAACTCTATTTCATTAATCTCTGAGACATGAGCTGACCCACTCACTTACAGTAATTTCTGTTGATGTTGATTTCGCTGACTTGGAACCAACAAAAGAACACACATTTTGTTTGGTGAACTAAACCGCTTTTAATGCCAACATGTTGAAGAAAAGGACAGCACACAGATGCACTGGAGGGTTTTTGGAAAAGGAAATCTATTACAGAGATCGAGAGATAATACATAGTAATATGTTTTGTTTTTTAGTTGTTCTTTTTTTGTATATGCTATTTTTAAATAATGTATATACTAGTTGTTTAAACGTTACAAAGGCTGAAAGAGGGGCAATGCACACCTTGGGTGTGGCTTCGCAAGTTGATGCAACAGCCTTTTTTTTCTGGGATGCAGTCGTTGAGGTTTCCGGACCCTCCGTGCCCTGCTCATCACGACCCGACTCGTGGTGCCCTCCCCGTGTCGATCGAAGGGCCTCTCATGCCGGCGGTGGAGGAGGAGCACTGGCCGCATGCTTCTCCTTCGACAAAGACAGAGTTCGGAACCTCCATTGGTAACACATGGGGTAGCACCATAACGCAGAGACGACCCAAAGATGAATTGCTTTTGAATCAAACCATGCTTTTGAGAGTCCCAACTATCACAGACGATTGATCGGCAACCAGGAATTTCCGGGTTGCCACACGGAAAATTCCTCACACGAGTGTGGCTGAAATCATCAACAAGCCCGTGGAGTCAAGCCAAGTTCCTTGGAGTCTCTACATGGCCTCCAACCTCATAGCGATGGCCTCCAACCCCCCTGTTTGAGCTTGGACCATATCTTAGAGTGCTTGGTCCGGTCTGATCCGGACGGTCGACATCTGGGGCTGTCGCTCCAAACAAATGGGCACCTGGGTTGACCAGCGAACATGAACAGATTCCTCCCTATCCAGCGATGTCGGTTTCGAAACCATGGTTTGGTGGAAGAGGTTTTGACTCACAGCCATGTATCATACATGGAGTGCATGGAGTGTCTCTGCAGAGGCAAGATTTCAGAGGTCACGAACTGGTCCAGTCCTGTGTTTTGAACATGATTCCCGGTAGGACTTAGGACGCGTCCCAGACTGATCAGTCTGATCCACGTGATGACGTCCCAGCTATACTCATGGTCACTGCTTCAAAGTCTTCAACTTAAAGCTCAACATCCGAGGAACATGACAAGTCCCAGATCTGCTCGAGGCCCTTCATATCCCTTCGATCCCTTCAAATCCTGCTTCACCCCCTTCCAGGAGCCGTTCCATGTCCCTTCCCCGCCCCCCTACCTCCCTCTACCTCTCTCTGCCCACTCCCCACGCGAACACGCGACTCTCCC